GGGAAAAAAAAAAAAAAAAAAAGACAGAAGTAAAACGCTGGTGGTGGCACTTCGGTGCCTAATTTAGCTGCTCTAATAGCTTCTGCTTTTGCGGGGCTTTACAGCCGACTTCCTGCAGACGTCGTTTCCACGAGCTGTCGCACCCATTACCCGCAAAGTCACCTTGGGAGCCGGAAAATAATCCACAAGCTTCAGGAGACCAGGAGCCCATCAGGAGGCGCAGCTTTGGCGCTGGGAGCCGACAGTATGCTCTTCACCTTGGCTGGGCGCTTCCCCACAAGCCCAAAGGGTGCTCGCCACCAGCTGCCACGTGAACCGAGCACCTCTCTGCCATGCTCTGACGGGACGTGGCGGAGTCACGCAATGCCATCTCCACCGGCACGCCGTTTGTCCATCGGCACCCGGGGCCTGCTCCCGAGCGCCCGCCAGCCTCCTCCTGAACAGCAGCTTTCCAGGCTCCGCAGCCCGAGCAGCAAACAGAGCTGCCAAAGCCCGACCTCCTGGTGCCAAAAGGGCCAGACACGCTCCCGCAAGAACAACGATGGGCAGCCGGTTTGCTCGTTTGCTTTTATTAACAACTCAGTGCAGGTTTTTCATAGATCAAATGCTTTATAGACACTTTGCTTTCATTTGCACTTCATTACATTTAAGTTTTTATTCTTTTTATTCCCTCCCCTCCCATTTTTGTCTCTCTTTTTTTTTTCCCTCTTTTTAATACAAAACCAGTTGTCGGTATTAACAGCTGTACATACTCTGCTACATACTTTGGTGTAATGTTGAGACCGGATGACTTGGTAAACCCCTCCGCCGACCCAGCACCAGGCAGGGCTTGGCTTTTTATTTAGTTATTTATTTTTTACCTTTTGCTTTATTTATGCATTTTTTAGAAAAGCACCACCTTGCAACCAAGAAAGCGCTCGGGACAGCAGCGCGTGAGAGTGGGAGCTCCCCCACTGCAAAGTTCACGGCTGTCTGATCCTGTGCCATCCCCGGCATATGAGCCATCCAGGGCAGGTTACTACTCTGAAAAATGACTGCAAAAGGGATATTTGTGGGACCCCCTTGGGGGGTGTTCCTCCATGGGCTTCCACACGTGTGTTTAAAAGCTAGGAGATTATATACCGCCCTCACCCCATTCAGCTCCTGGGGGTGAGTCTAGGGTGGGAAGCACCACAAATCCTCAGCGGATATGCTAGTCTCTGCTGCAGCCCTGAGTGTGGACTGGAAAAAGCTCTTCCCATGCAAACCCAGCCGTAGCTCATCGCTGTGTTGATAAGCTGGTTATTAAAAGCAGCCAGGTCAGCACAGAGCCCGAAGCAGTCAAACGATGCAGTCATTAAACTAAGCAGCGCTGACTGCATCTGCGCATCCACTGGGGATGGTGTTGGTTTCACAGTCATTTTTCTTGACACAGCCGCCCTCCAAAAATCACAAAACCAAACCCAGCAATGCAGGTTTTAAAAGCGTTTTCCTAGGCCAGTGCTTTTCCAATACATAATGCACAGGGTAAATCAAGTCCCAAGCTTTTGTGCTACAGCGCAAGGCTCTCAGACTCACAGGCGCCTATTTCCCAGTCAGGTCAGGTGCATGCTTTTGCCTTTGAGGTTTCCCTCATTTGAGTCATGAGCAAAAAAACCCCCATCACATCTTAAACACCGAAAAGAAAATCCCATAAAATTGATTTTCACCTCTCATCTGCTCCATCCCAACCCATTGCCACAGCTGGAGGGTACCGCGGAGAACTTGGGATACTGCCTTGATGCTGAACATACATCCAAGAACAGAAAGGTAAAGAGTATCTCTACATTATCATCCTTTTGTATTATCAATGCATTTAAAACAGGTAGTTTTTTTTTCTTCTTCTTTCTTCACCTTAACCCTAATTATTTTTTGACCAGATTAAAATCAAAAATTAAAAAATAATCCATAAAAATGTAGTATAAAAATTCTCTTCCGTATGCTACAATACAGGGTGAGCACGTCTGCTACACAAATACTTTTTATTTTCCATTATTTATTCATTTTTTACCCTTTAGTACAAAACGCTGAAAACGCAGGCCTGTGTGGGGATGGGTTTTGCTTCGTTGAAACCTATACGCCAGAAGTCACAAGACCGTAAAAGCCACAGAGCCCTACTGGAGACAGCCCCCCACCCCTTCCCCCACCACACACAAACCCTACCGGTTAGTAAACTTTAAAAAAAAAAAAATGTATTTTAAAGGTTATCAATTCTAATTCTTTACTTTCATTTGAATACAAAACACTTAAGTTGCTATTATCTTTCATGGCTCCCTGAGCTGATTTTTTTTTTTTTTTTTTTAAACTATGCTTTCTTTGAAATTATTCCTCGTTGTTTATGTCCAAAGATCAAGAAGGGCTTGAGCAGAAGCATTGCAGAAGGTGGACTTCCCGTTTTCTTCAAACATATGAGCACAAAAAAAAAAAATCCATATAAAAACATGATTGTTTTTGCTGATGTCGCATCAGTAGCTGAAGATCTGACCAATTTGACTTCAGTCCGTACAGTGTTCAAACATGGGACTAACACGCTGGACAATTCACATATACAACAGTAGGAACAACTTCACCAGTGGACATCTTTGCTCAACCTGGTTACAAGCTGCATGTCAAAGAAGTGCCCCAAATGGGGAGGTGAAGGCTGGGAGGGGATGGGGGCGGGGGGAAGAAGGGGAACTTTGCCACCACCAAACCATCAGTGGAATACAATTACAGCAGACAAAAAAAAAATAAAATAAAAAATACACAACTAGTGTACCAGGAGGATTCCCCCACCCTTCCGATTCTAGGTACGAGTCCTTTATTTACACTTTTCACAAGTCTTATGCAGCGCGCACCAAAAAAGAAAAAAAAAAAGTCACGATAAAAAATAAGTCCTTTATAGTGCCACCAAAGCGCAGACAAAAGAACCAAAAAAAATAAAATAAAATAAAGGGGTGGGGCGGGGGGGAAAACCAAGCCCCCAAACCAAACCAGAATCTGTTTAGGGCTCTGACGTGTGCATCTTTGCAGGCCTTCAAAGCAATCCATACATCATCAGTCCATCTGCAGTATAGACTCAGCTTTAAATGCATCCTCTCCGAGGCTTCGGGGACCGCCCAGCAGAAAACAATGTCTCAATGCATGGCTGGTCGGCTTTCATTTCCCCTCCATCCTTCAGAGCCTCGCCATTGTGTTGTCAGGCTGCAGCCTGATATTCAGAGTTGACAGCCCCGTTAAAATCCGTGTTTAATAGATGACCTCGTAGACTGTGGCCTTCTTGTCACCAGAGCCTGTTACAATGTATTTGTCATCCGCTGAAATGTCACAACTCAAGACAGATGAGGATTCTTTCGACTGTGCGGGGGGGGGAGAAATAAATAGACAAAAAAAAAAAAAAAAAAAAAAATCAGTTTGGTGTCTCGGTGCTGTTGCAACCGCATTCGAGTAAGCGGAAAAGCTCGGTGGCGACAGCGGCGCTGTTATTTATATGCCAGCTGGGATAAATGGCCTGCTCTAGAGGCACCTGACGGACATCAGCTTCTGACCAAGGCGTTAAACGGACGGCAGTGGACACCACCCCAGCATCCTTTCCTCCCCCCAGCAGCATCCCCGCTGCCTGATGAAGAGCGAGAGCATCCATCACCTAGCTGGGGAGGTGCCTGGGTAGCTGCCTTGCCGCATGGATGGCGCGAAGCCTCCAAGCTATTCCCTACCCCACCCGGGTCCAAACCGGAGTAGCCCCTTACCTGGAAGATGCTGGCCCCATAGGGAGTTCTCCAGGCATTGAGCAGGTTGTCTTTCCCCGTGCTCACAAACCATTTACCTAGACACACAAACGGGGGGTCACTTTCTCTCCAGCCACCGACAAGCTTGCTTGCTCTCCAACAGAAAAAAAAAAAAAGACACAAGGCCCCCTGCTCCCGAGGGGGACGTGGGAGACGGATCCGGGGGCAGCCGGCAAGGTCAGACGGCCCCACCTTTGGCTTCTGCACGAGCCGGCTCCGATAAACGAGCAGTAACCGGCGGCGAAAGGATGTGCCGTGACCCCGGCCTACGCTTATGCCTCATTGCCTCTGTCTGCCGGCGAACAAAGGGCTGTTGTGTCAGCAGCGCTTTTCCATCCGCCAATTCAACAACGTCGACACCGACATATCCCGGCCCCTCGCTCTGCCCGGGTCGCTTTTGAGGACAGCGCCAAAGAGAAACCCCCAGGGCTGCTGAGATCCCCCCCGCCCCCCCGGCCTTTGCTGACAAGCTTTCCCTCTGCTCCGACAGCGCGTTGATTAAATGCAGTTTTCTGCCACGCCAATTAGCGCTTCACGCCGGCTCCCTCGACCAGGGAGCAACCCGGCGGGGACTTACCACAGTAGGCGAACTTCAGCGACAGGACGCAGCTCTCGTGCAGGTGCAGCTGGTACTTGTCCGGCTTGGTGTGGTGCAGCACCTCCACGTTGCTGCTCTCCATGCCCACCGCCAGCCACTCCCCGGTCGGGCAGTAGCCCAGCGAGAAGATCTGCAGGAAGGCGCAGAAGGTCGTTAGAGCCTGGGAGTCAACCTCCGCGCTGGCCAGGCGGCTCTCTGGACTGGCCTGATGTTCCCATCGTGCCAAAAAAGCCTGGGGACCAGAGCTGTTCATTTACCCCAGCAGCAGGTGCCGCAAGGCAGAAGCAATGCAAGATTCCCCGCCTGGGCTGGGCTTACGATGCCAAGTCAGACTTCGGCAGAGAAAGGCAACAAGAGCGAGACGAACGCTGATCGCGGTCACAGCAAGCACCCCTGACCCCCAAAATGCTTCCCCAAGGCTACAAAGCTCTGTTGGCAGCGACTCTGAGCTCCACTAGTCCCTAAAAAGCCTCCACTTATAAAAATCAGAGCCATCCAGCTGGTGCAGCCCTCAATGTTATGTCTAGAGAGACCTGGACAAATTGGAGGATTGGGCCAAAAGGAATCAAATGAGGTTCAACAAGGAGAAATGCAAAGTCCTGCGCTTGGGATGGTGCAGATGGGGGTGACGGGCTGGGCAGCAGCTCTGCAGGAAAGGACCTGGGGGGACAGGGGACAATAAACTGGACAGGAGCCAGCAGTGTGTCCTTGGTGCCAAGAAGGACATCAGCATCCGGGGTTGCATGGGTAGGAGCGGTGCCAGCAGATCGAGGGCAGTGATTCTCCCCTCTATTCAGCACTGGGGAGGCCACACCTGAGTCCCGTGTCCAGCTGTGGACCCCCACTACAGAAAGGATGTGGACACATTGGAGAGAGTCCAGCGGAGGGCAATGAAAATGGTTGGGGGCTGGGGGACAGGACTGGTGAGGAGAGGCTGAGGGAAATGGGCTGATTGAGTCTGCAGAAGAGAAGCCCGAGGGGGACTGAATAGCAGCCTTCAGCTCCCTGCAGGGGGGCTGCAAAGAGGATGGAGCTGGACTGGTCTCAGTGGGGGCAGAGGGCAGGACAAGGAACAATGGGCTCAAGCTGCAGCAAGGCAAGTTGAGGTTGGATATTAGGAAAAACTCCCTCGTGAAGAATGTAGTAAAGCACTGAAACAGGTGACCCAGAGCAGTGGTGCAATCTCCATCCTTGGAGGTTTAAGACTGGTGTAGACAAAGCCTTGGCTGGGATGATGTAGTCGGGGCTGGTCCTGCTTTAAGCAGGGGGTTGGACTAGATGTGGCCTCCTGAGCTCCCCTCCCACATTTATTTTCTATGAGTCTATGATCTAGCCCAGCCCCCAGCTCCCAGCAGGGTCGCCCCTGTCTAAACTACCCCAGCCACACCTGTCCAACCTTCTCAAACATTTTGGAAACAAATCCTCACATACAACTGCCAGGCACAATGCCCAAGACATCCAAACACCCTTGAACTTGCCACAGGTCAAGCAGGGGGACAAGGGCTCTGGCTGCATCAAGCAGCATCCAGCCCTGGGCTGGCTGGTGCCCGACAGATGCCATCCAATACACAGACAGAGCGGGCACGTGCCAACGACGCCACCTGACACCAACCACTGCCGAGATCCACTTTCTTCCCGGATCAACCCTCCTCCAGGAAATAACCCGCTCTCAGAAACCCCAGCAAGCAGATGCGCTCCTCCACTGCCGAGACCGGGGTGGTCTCCCCTCCTCTGGGGACCCCGAGACCCCCCGGGACTCACCTGGGAAGTAAAGTCGTGCTGCTGGAGCTGCCTTCCTTCCCTCAGGTCCCAGGAACGCACAGTGTTGTCCAGCCCCCCCGTCCACAATTTTGTACCGTCGTGCGAGATGTCTATGCAGCTTGCACCGTCTGTGTGCCCTTGGAATTGCCTAAGGAGAAGCAATTCAACACACCAGGGGGTCAGAAATCTTTTTCCTGCTTCATCCAAAGTTTAAAAGCAACAGCATGGCAGGGGCAGCAGCACTGCTAGCTGAGGGAGGCACTTGACTGCGTGGCTCATTGTCCTCTATCTGATGCCTGCTAATCTCTTCACTCCACACATGTTAATGACTCTCTTTTAATGGTCCTGATGCAATCCAACTAGCTTGGTCTTCCATCACTGCTGTCAGCTGGCTGCTTCTGGTCATGAAGCTCCCATTTCACAGCCCTGCAGCCTTTCAACTCGTTCCAATAAAAACCCATCTCTATTTTTGCTTTGATCTGAAACTGAATTGCCCAGCCCTAGGTCTCTGGCCTACTAGTAAAGCTTCTAGCTGGTTCTTAACTGGAGGAAAACGACCGTTTTTAATGGGATAATGAACATCGCCATCTGCACCCCCCTTTTCAGAAGTCTAGATCCACCCATATACCGACCCCTCCCCCTGCCCCGAGACTGGGCTTCCTCACGTGCCCAACATAGCGATGGCACGGACTTCCCCTCCCCACCACCTGCACTTTCATAGCGTCAGAGAGAAGTAGGGCTGGAGGGACCTCCGGAGGTCGCATCTAATCCAACCTCACCCCTGTCCAAACCACCGACCACCCCCGGGGGAGTCAACGACCACCGAGGGTCCCGAGCCTCACCTGACTAGCGTCTGGTTGTGGAGATCCCACACAGCGATGTTGCCGTCACTGCAGCAGGAGAAGCAGACCTTGGCGTCGGGGCTGATGGCCAGGGCGTAGCAGGCTGGAGCGGAGGAGGTCAGTTCGGCCTTGATGCGCGGCGTCGGGGAGGCCAGGTCCCAGATGGTCAGCGTGCTGGCCTCCCCTCCCACGATCAGCGTGCGCCCGTCGGGCAGCAGCTTGCAGGAGCGGATGTAGTTATCTCTGTTCTGCGGGAGTCAGAGATGGCCTGGCCGTTACCGGGGCACTTCTCAAACCCGCCGGGGACGGGGGTCCGCTTAGCCCACGCCCGCACCGCCTCCAACTTACCAGGCAATCCAGCTGCGAGATGGGGCTCTTGCTGCCGGGCTGGCTGATGTCCCAGATCTTCACGCACCCCTTCCCACCGGTATACACGTGCCGGGTGGGGTTGCTGATGGTCACGGCGCACACCACCTCACCGTGGCTCAGCGTGTTGATCTGCCGGGCGTGCCGTGGGATGCCGGGGCCGGCCAGGGCGTCGTGGGGAAAGGGCACTGGCTGCATCTGGCCGTCCGCGCTGACGTGGAAGGAGTAGGCTCTGGGGAGGACAAGCCACGGGGTCAGCCCATGGGGAGGGCTGCAAGGACGGAGCAGGGGAGACCTTCCAGCTGCAGTGCAGCTCCCCTAGCAGATGCCACTGAGGGTGTGCGACCCCCAGGATGGCTTGGGGCGATGCCACGGTGGACTCGGAGCACACCTGGCTGCTGATGCCGAGGGAGGCGGGGGGATGAAACAGGCTCCCCAGAGAGGTGGTGGACTCTCCATCCTTGGACGTTTTTAAGGCCTGGCTCAACAAGCCCCGTCTGGGATGATGTAGTCGGGACTGGTCCTGCTTGGAGCAGGGGGTTGCACTAGATGTGACCTCCCGAGGTCCCGTCCAACCCTCATTTTCTACGATTTTAACGAACGCCCCGCGGGGATGGAGTTAAATCTCAAGGGAGCTTACGGTTTCCCGCCGGGAATGGAGCTGAGGCTGGTGGGGAGTCCGGGCGCCCGCATGGGCGGGTGGGGGTCGAAGCCGACCTGCGAGCAGACACGAGGCGCGTCACACGCCGGCCACCGCGTGAAACCCGACCGCTTCCCCCATGCACTAGCAGAGAGCGAGGCGGCTACCGTGCCGAGAGGGGACGGATATCCAGGGACGGGGGCACCTTCCCTGGACTGCTGGGCTGCGACAGGACACGCCGGCTGCCGCACGGGCCTCTGGACGGGCGGAGAAGTAACAATAGGTGGCTCCGCACCGATTCGGGGGAGCTAGAGAGGAGCGCCAGCCGGAGCTGCGGGACGAAGTCCCCTAAGAAGAGGCTCCCACCCTCCCCCCGTACCCAAAAGCTAAGGGGTCCACCCACCGTGCAGTCAGCCCTTGCTCCGGTGCCCTCCCCAAACCCTTCTACTTTGGGGGTGCACAGCACCAGGTTTCACAAGGGTGACCCTTCCAGCCCCCCAACCTGGGCACTCAACAAAGTCTTGCAGCAAAGACGGGCTAGGAGTTGGTGGGGCCCAGCTGCAAAGACCGCCCCTGCCCAGGCCCTGTGCCCGCCCTCCCCATCGCGCGGCGGGAGCGAGAAAGGAGCTAAAAGGGCTACGTACAGCTCCAAAGCTCACCATTGGCGATCGACCGTAGGCAGCGGCGGCAGCGGCGGCCGCCGTCATTTGGGGAGGGATGTTGTGGAGCCCGGCGTAGGCTCCCGGGCTGGTGAGGGACCCGTTTATCTCGTGGTGCCCCATCATGGCGAAGGGGGCTGCATAGGAGCCTGCTATGGAGATGGGCGTCCGCAGGGCTGACGCTGGAGGGGAACACAAGGGAGGCCGCGCCCGGTGAGCCCCAGGCTTGTGCAACCTGGTCTCTCAGGGGACGCGAGACAGGCCACCCTCCAGCCTCCTGCCATGCAAGGCTGCACAAGCCCCCAGTCGGGATCGGGGCCCTTGCTGCACCAGGACTCACCCAGCGAGGCCTGGACTCCCCCCACAGCCCGGCACCGACTCCGAAGCAACCTACCCAGGGGGTCCATGCCCGTGGGCTTTCCCGGCATGGGCCGGAGGCCGGGGGTCGTGCTGGTCCCGGGCGTGGGAGCGTCGTTGCGCGGCGTGGGAGTGTTGGACTTGAGCCCCGGCGTCGACGACTTGTCGTTCTGGGAAGAGGGAGGAAACGGGGGGGGCGCTGAGACCGGCAGGGCAATGAGGCTTCCCCGAGGCCTCGTTACCCCCCGGGAAAGCAGGACGGGGGTCTCCGCTCGCAGCGAGCCCCGGGCGCCACCCGTGTCCCTTCCCACCGCATGCCACCTACGTGGCCCAGGTCTTTCGTCTTGGACGAGGGGGTGCTACTGGAGGAGGCCACCGAGGCGGGGCTGTTCGGTGCGTCTTTCTTCAGCCCCCGGGTTTTGTCGATCCCGTTCTCCGGGGGGGTGTGGGCCGGGCTGACGCGCGGCGTGGCGGGATCCTGAGAGAGGGGGAGAAGGCGGTGAGCCTGGTCTCAAAGTGGGGCTGAGCTGGGGCAAGGAAGGGTCTCAGCACTGCTAGCAGCATGGGCTAACTGGCCCCAATCCTGGGAGAGGGGCCAGGAAAAGACCCGGTGTGCAGCTAGGGGCTTCCTTCCACCCTGGCCCACTGGCACGGCATCCCCGCACGGCCGGGCTCACCTCGTTGGAGACGTCAACCACCAGGTCATCGCTCTTGTCGCCGTCGCTGTCCTGAAATGCAGAGCAAGGAGCGATGCTATGCTGTACCCTATTCCCCGGCGGGGAAAACAGCTCTCAGCCGCCCCACCTGGAGTCAAATTAGGGCCCAAGGGGTTTGGGGACCTTCTGCCTATAGGAAGACGCCCCCCACCCGCAGAACAGCTGCCCTCTCTTGCCCCTGCGGCTTCTCAGCACAGGGCTCGTCCCCCTCCATTCGCGGGCGCTGCGAGGGGCGGGACCCCTGGTTTTCGGGCAAGGGGGCACGTGCCCACGACTCACGTATCGGCTCATGCTGTCCTTCTCCTCGGCTTTCCGCTTCTTGGAGTCGATGCTGTAGTCCGTGGAGCTCCGGTGCTTCTCGCTGGCTCTCAAGCTGTCCGACGGCGAGACAGAGTTATTCTGAAACCACGCGGGGAAGGAGGGGAAAAAGCAAAAGCAACCCTGAGCAACTGGTGCCTACTGGCCAGGCATCGCAGGCAGCAGCTTTCAGAAACAGCGGCTGCAACCTCTCTCCAACTTGTCACAGTCCCCCCACCTCAGCCCTCTCCAACTGGGGGAACATTGACTGCGTGGTTTGTCATGAAGGCGACCGGCATCCTGGGCTGCATGGGTAGGAGGTCAAGGGCAGTGACTGTCCCCTCTATTCAGCTCTGGGGAGGCCACATCTGGAGCCCTGTGTCCAGGTTTGGGGCCCCCACTACAGAAACGATGTGAACACATTGGAGAGAGTCCAGTGGAGGGCAATGAAAATGGCTGCGGGGCTGGGGGACTGGACTGGTGAGGAGAGGCTGCGGGAAATGGGCTGATTTAGTCTGCAGAAGAGAAGACTGAGGGGGATTGAATAGCAGCCTCCAGCTCCCTGCAGGGGGGTTTGAAATAGGATGGAGCAGGGCCGTTCTCAGTGATGGTCATCTCAAGCTTCGAGTCATCTCGGGCTACGATCTGCTGCATGGGGGAGGACCCTGGGGGCACCAGCAGGTCCTCAGCCAGTCTCAGCATAAGGCATTTGGAGACAGGGAGGGAGCACTTAAAATTCTCCCTTGAAAAACCTTCCGGGACGATGGGAATTATATAAACATTTATCCACGGAGCTGCAGCCACTGATCCATTCACCAAAACCCATTCACCCCGACTAGCTGGTACCCGCGTCCACACGGGAGCATGGAAGTAACACGACTCAAGCACGCAAAGCCTCTCCCCCCGTACACGCAAAGGGCCAAAACCAACGGTGGAAACCCTGACCCTGGGGAAGCCTCTCCTGGACCTCGGCGGAGCCAGGATTTCATCCCAGACGTGCTCCCGAGAGTACATGTAGGAACTGCCTTCTCGCCACGCCATCGACCCGCCGAGGAGCCTCGTGAAGCTCTGTGCCGTCGCGATGCCACAAAGCTCACGCCCCTGGGGAGCTACAGGTCGCCGCAACGCGGAGGCGATTCAATTAGCTCCTACCGGCGGCGGCAGCAACGGCCGCCGTCCCTCCCCGTCGAGAGTGCCTGCCACCCCATGCTAAGCAGAAATGTTTCTAAGCTCCTCTGCTTCCCTTTCTTTTTTGCTTGAAAAGGAGAACTAAAGCAGTTCATGTTTCTCCTCCGTACCCAATAAGCAGCTTTGGATAACACCGGGGCCTTTCTTCTCAGGCAGTCATGCTGAAAAACCTTGCAGCTACCCGAGAATCATGTCAAGCATTTAGAGCCATCGATCCATTCAGCCTCTGCCTGGCATGCAGCCAAGAGACTAAATATTTTTTATTGCTCAGGCTAGGCCAGGAAAATATGAATGAATCTCAGCTCTGATTATCGTGTGCATTAAATCCCCGGTGGGGATTTTTTTTTTTTTT